ACATCGCCGCGCCTCAAAATGATTCCTGCGAATCTCCAAACAATCTTCACGCCCGAAGAATCTCCAACAACATCTCAGCTGGAGATTCCTCTCAGATTTGCCGAAGATTTCCCAAGGATTTCTGCACGCCAGAAAATGCCCAAATATATGCCAGAAATGTTCTATACAGATTTGTGTGAGGCACGCCGCAAATTTGCCAGAGATGTTCCACGGATGTTCCAAAGATTTCTGCACGCCCGAGATGTTCCAGAGATCCCCCCAGAAATTTATAAACCCAGATATGTTCCAGAGACTCCCCCAAAGAATAGTACAGCCCAGAAAATTTAGCGAGATTTCCCTGCAGATATTCGGGTCCAGAAATTGACCGGAAATTCGGGAACTGCCCAAACACAATTTGGGGATTTCCCGAAGGATCTTGTTGAGATGTTTCATCCCGGTGGCCTTGTCGCGTTTGTCATACTGACCCAAAATAATATTTGAGCCATCGCGGGACGAGGTTAGCGGTCGTGGAAGCATCTGGATTGACCTTTCTCGGGCTCTGTTGGCCGTGGCTTCTGGCCGTTCATGGCCGTTGTCACCCATCCAGGAACTGAACGAAGCAAAAAAACAAAAAACAAGAAAACGGCCACGAACGCCGAGGGCCAGTGATGATTACCGAGGATGGGAACCATTCGTCATTCTGTGGGGCGGGGGCGGCTTGGGGGCCCAGTTTCCTCACGTCTCGTGCGCAGGCTCGGCTCTCTAGCCACAAAGGGTCCGTCCTTCCTAGCTCCTCCTTTGGCCATAAAGGGGATTGGCCATGGTTTCTTCGGGCATGGGGACTCAACAACAACAACAACAACCACAACCACAACCACAACCACAACAACAACAACAACAACAACAACAACAACAACAACAACAACAACAACAACAATTACTAGCACGTGGGGACACTCCGTTCTCACCAGTGCCAGGGTTTTCATAGGAGGCGGGCAATACCCCCACTTTGTGGGGGGGCCGGTTCAAGCTCTACCAAATTTCCAAACGACTCTTCGCCACCACCCACACCCAGCTTCCCGCCCTATGACGTTCGGACACTTCACTTCGTGGCATGCGGACGACCGTGGCTACTATTCAGGGCCCCGCGGCCGACGACGACGGCGTGCGCGCGCGAAGAAAAAACGAATGTGTCCCGCATGGTATTATTTGACAGGGATGATGGCCCTGGCAGGTGCGCAACCGTTGTCGCAGAAGTTCGAAAAAGTTGCTCGCAAAAGCCCGTTTGACAGAAATGTTTAAAAAGTGTTGGGTTTCCTACGAATCCGCAAGAGCGCGCGGGATGAGATTTTGACATTTTTTTGTTGAAAAACCATTGTTTTTTGATGTTTTTATGTTAAAATCGCTCCGAACACTAAGCTTTTGGAAGGATTTCGTCTTGCGCGCGCGAATGTCCACTTTACCTTATTTTTTGCAAGGGATTCTTGAAATTTGATTATATTAGAACAAGAAATGTCATTTTATAGTGTTTTTTGCAAGGGAAAGCGGGGGGGAACAAAACAACCGGATCTTGATCACATCGAATTACCTGAGGCTTCCTCACGAAAATGATGAAAATGTAGCTGCGGCCTAGGCGGCGCAGGGGGGCCGTGCACCAGGGGTCCCAACAATAATTATTCTTTAGAATTAATAATGTTCAACAACAACCAGCAACAGCAACAAGAACAAAAACAAAAATCATCGGTTGCGTTATTCCTCCTCCTCCCCCCAACGCTTCGAGCCCCCAGCCGCCATTCCGCCAACCCCGCCAAAAAACGTGCGGACTCGCTGTCGGGGGTCCATCGCCGACCTGTAGGCACTGCATCGCCGATCCCAGCTCGATGCCTCCGGCCCTGAGCCGGCTCCCCGCCCCATCGTTGCCCCTCACCCCTCCGCCTTCTCAAGACCTCTGTGAACGGAAGCAGGGAGCCAAAGGGCCGAACCGTCCGTCCGACGGAGATCCGTAGGTAGAGGGAGGATGACAGCGATGAAGGGTTTTATCCCTCAATGCTGTCCGATCCTGTGTCTCCAGTACCTGGGCCGAGAGGGGCAGCGGTAGAGAAGGGCAAGAGTGGGAAAAAAAGGAATTCACACAGAGGGTCCCCCCCATCGCTGCCCCTCACCCTGCCGTGGTCTCCAGGCCTCCTACGCCGCGATGCTCCACGTGGGCATCAGACCTCTCGGCCCCCTGCCCCCGCGGACCGCCTTCTCCGCCGCGGGCCGCTCTTCCACAGCCCCGGGCCCGACCCGGGCCTCGGCCGATGGAGGCCCGAAGAACTGGAACAAATCCTTCGCCGTGCTTTCTGCCTCACGGCGTCGTGAGGGCGTCGTTCCCTGATCCCTCCTCTGAGAGTCTCGAAGAATGCAAACTGCGCGCCAGGGAGGGGGGTCCAGCGCAAACCCCCAAGCAATCCGCACGGGCCTCACACAAAATGTCTGTTTACGCAATTGTTTGATCTTCGATCCTCCCTGGCCCCCCTTCCTCGTGCACGACGCCCGGCTTGGAGCCGTCGCACACCGCAGTGGCGTGGCCCCCGAGGCGGGTGCGCTGCAAGAGGGCGGCGTCGATGAGCACCAGCGACGCCATGGCTTCTACCTGCCGCCGGGTCCAGAAAGAGAGAAAGAGAAGGGGGCAGCACGAGGAGGATGGGCAAAGAAGAGAAACAAGGAAGAGCAAGGCCGGAGAGGGAGGGATGAGAAGGAAGAGGGACCATCGCGGTAATTATAAGGCCCGCCCCTCCCCCAGGCGCCTCTGACCCGCGCCGCTGGACGACGACGAGCCCTGGGCGCCTCAGACCCGTGCAGCTGAACGCCGCCGCCGCGCCCGCCGCTGCCGCCGCCGCCGCCGCCGGCGGCGACGACGACGACGACGCCCACGAGGCCCACGAGGCCCACGACGAGGCCCAAAACGAGGCCCGCTGCGGCAGGCCCACGACGGCATGGTCCTGGCCCCTGCCTGCCGAGCCACCGAGCGCTGCCCTCCTGCGGGCCGCTGCCACCCCATCGGGGGGGCCCAGGACTGCCACGGCTGGGAGGCGGAGGAGGAGGAGGAGGAGGAGGGCGAGGAGGAGGAGGAGGGCGAGGAGGAGGAGGAGGAGGAGGAGGGCGAGGAGGACGAGTAGGAGGGAGAGGAGGAGGAGGAGGAGGAGGAGGAGGAGGAGGAGGAGGAGGAGGAGGAGGAGGAGGAGGAGGAGGAGGAGAAGGAGGGAGGAGGGGAAGGGCGGTGGCCGTCCGCGAACTTCAGGGCCACCGCGTGAGAGCAGGGGCACGCGGCACCCCGTCTGCGGGCGGCAGCCGCTCGCTGGCGCAGGGCGGGCCCCTGGGGGGCGGCCCTGCGCAAGCGGGGCTCACCGCGGGCCGAGCGAGGGGAGGTCCTGGCTGCCATTCCCAAGGCTGGGCTGACAGCGATGTTGCTTAACGGTGATGTTGGGAACCAGATGGTAGGAAATCACGAACCACACTTTCCTACACCTCCAATCCGCGAACGGGTCGAGCGAGCACGACGCAGCGAATGGAAGGAAAGCGTGAGCCACGCGCCCCCGCAATGCCGAAACCTATATCACCGTTACCTGCATCGCCGTTAGCCCGTCTATTCCCCGACCCCCCGACCCCGAACCGAATGATTCGGTTCGGGGTCGGGGATCGAGGAACGCGCCCCCGCGTGCCCAATCGGCAAGTTGACCCGGAAACCCACTGGACAGGGTGCAGAGGTCAGGCGAAGGCTGCGGCGGGTCAAGACAAGCGACGCTCGGGGCCGCGGGTGAGAGGAGACAGGGGGCGGGCAGGAGGCCGAAGAGGACGTGGTTGAGGGCGAGAGAGCCAGCGTGCCGCTTTGGTTCGCCTGGTTCCACAAACATGTTTACACTGTGGTGACCTCGGCCAGCGCGGCGACCCACAGTTGACGACAGAGTTCACACGCGCCCCTGTCACTATTGAGCGAACGCTAGACGGACGTGGGAAACCGTAAAGCAGATGTCGGACCTTGCTGGCCGCGCTGACGCACTGTGACGTACGCCCAACATGAAAACAGCACTTGTGTGCTTGGGTGCACGTTGGCACCACGAGCGGGAACGGCGCGACAGACGTCGCACCAGGACGACCAACAGCAGGAGGAGGAAGGAGTGGCACCAGTAGGATATGAAGGAGGACAGGCGCAAAAAAAACACTGCCGCAGGGAAGAGCGCCCACATCAACCACTCATCGAGACATGAACCGGCCAAGGAGCAATCGCCCGGACTGTTGGCGCGAAGCGCTCCGTTGAGTGTGTCTCGAGCTGGTTACAGTACCTCCCCTGCCTACGTACGACGGGCTCGTGTCGAGGCGACACCAGCGTTGGTTTCTGACATCGCGTGGACTCAACCTTGAGCGGTCGGCGGCTCTTCGATCGTTCAACCCTTGAACGCCCTAGGTGGGGTCGACGCGGCGTCGGAGCAACGCGAACCTGCCGCACGTACTCTCCCCCCTTCCCCTCGGGCCTGCGCTCAGGGGAGGCCGCAGCACTGCTCAACGACGTGTTTTTTTCCTACCGACCCTGCAATGTGGGCCCTTTCCTTACAGCCTTGCGGAAGTGCGGCTCGTCTGTGCGCCTCGTCCCCGCCGTCGCTGCCGGCGTCGTCGGGGCCGTGGTGCGCGCTGCTCTGCTCGGAACTCGCCCCCCGCTGTGCAATGACCACCGCCCACCACCTGCCCATCGGCGGCCATTGTGGACCAGGCGGTCGGGCAGGCCCCGCACCCCTCGTCCAGGTCCGCCGTGCGATCGGACGGCGATGGGGCCCATGCGAAGACCTCCGGCGCTTGCGACCGTGGCCTTCCTCGCTGGACTCCGAGGCCCGCGGCGGTGTGCGGGCCATGGGCGCCGAGGCGCACTGCGGGCGGCCGCGGCGAGCTCGGCCCCCTCCGCGGGGACCGCCGCCTGCTGAGAGGTGCCCGGCGCAACCCCCGCTGCGGTCGAGGGCGAGGGCAGGAGAGTCAGGTCGGGCAAGCGGATGTTGGACGAACAACCCGAACATGTCAAACAAATAATCATGCATCGTCAAATAATACGAATAACAATACTAATAAAAGAATAATACCAGCAATAATGATGATACTAACAAGAAGAAGAAGACAAATAAACAGAAACAAGGAACAAAACGAAGAAGAATGCAAACATCGCCCCCGTACCATGTTGACACAATGTTGTAACATCCCTCATGTAGAAGGACACGCCCGATCTAACAGAAGGGGCCCCCTCGGGGGCAACAGCCCCCCAAAAGGGAGGCCCCTCGGGGGGGGGGGGGGGGGGATCGAGCAGTAGGGGGCAAACAAACCTACCTCGCTTCTGACCACCCTCGCTTCCAAGAGATACCAAGCGATGCCAAACTACGGCCTGTACTGGTCAGGCCGCTTGTCGAGGAGGCGCGTGGTATGACTTGGTTTTGCCTGGAAGCGAAAGCGGGGTAGGTAATTCACGCTCTGAAGCAGGGCAGGACCACCTGGTGAGCGCCCGGGGGGCGTCCCGCAGGCGCGGGCCGGGCGTGGGGCGGCACTCGCGCTCGTGGCGCCGGCGGCCGAGAGCGGCAGCCCTCATGAGCGCGCCAGCGCGTGGTTCGTGTCGGCGCCGAGTCGCCCGGGGGCGACCGCCCAGGTGTTGAGGCTGCAGAGGGCAGCCGGCGGTAATCTAGCGGGCGTGCTCCCAAGTCCCAGGGCAAGCGCGCGAGGGCCGCCGACCACCGCAGGGCTATGTTATGCATCTGCGCAGGATTCTTGATAATCTCTGTGATTCTCGAAATTCGTTTTTTTCTCGCGGGCCATCGGCGATCGAGCGCGGCCGCGGCACGCCGCGATGTAAAGGTCGCGGCGGCGACATCAGGCAACGATGCGTTCTGCGCACGCGCTCTCTGGCTAAACTTCCACGGTGGTGCGCGACTGCAACTCAATCACATCGGTCCACGTGGCCCGCGCGGAGGGGCGGCGGCAAGAATGCGTGACAACGGGTCCTATCATTATCAAGGCTGTGAAACTTCCGCTCCAAGGCCTCAAATAACCGGACCCGCGCGCAACCCTGAATCTAGGGGTACGCATGTAGAGGAACGGATAGAAGCGCAACTGGCACGCGCGTGCGCAGGAGCACATGCTTCGCGAGTTCCGCGCAAGAGCGGTGAGACGGCCGTCGCGACCCTGACGGCCATTGGCACGTCAAGCCAACGCGCACCGCGCGTGGCCCGCGCGAGAAAATCGGCAGCTCACCAATGCAAGAGCGCCCAGTCCACGAGAGGGCGAAGGAGCGCTTTGCACATTTATGTGACACGTTGTGCACGTGGTGCGCATGTGGTGTAAACATGGTACAACAGTGGCATAACATGGTGTACAAGTTGGCGTACATTGGTGTAAAAGTTGTGCAAGCATGGTGTGAAAGTGGTGTGAAATGTGTGTACAAGTGGTGTACAATAATGTGCATGTTTCGGATGTTGAATCCGTGTCCTCCTGGTGTATTGCCAGGCGCGGTTTCCAATCCCTGTGGGCCCCCAAAAACTGCACTGATTCATTACAATCCAAATCCCAGGCGGCTCCGCCGTACTCTTGGGGGCGCGGGCGGGATCTCCGGGAGGCCCTGGCGTGCGCGAAGCGAAGTGGGGGCTGGGGTAAATGTGGTATAAGAGCGGTGCAAAAGTGGTGCAACAGTGGTGTAAAAAGTAGTGTAAGAGTGGTGTAAAGGTGGTTTAAAAGTGTTGTACATGTTGTGCACATGTTGGGTATTGTGTCGGGCCTCGTCGCGCGCTCAGAAAGCATAGTTCGCGGTGCGCGGTCGCGACTCGCAGTTCGGCGAGCGGAGCGGCGCGCGGCGCGGCTCGACGCGGCGCGCGGCGCGGGACGGCATGCCGCTCTGCGGAACGGCGCTGCGCGGCGGGGCGGCGAGGCGCGCGCCACGGCGCGGCGCGGCGAGACCCGCGCGGACTCGCGAGTTGGCACCGTCGCCAACGCGTCGGGTGACGCTCGACGCGGCAGGGAGCGACGCGCGGCGGAGCACGGCGCGCCGCGCTGCACGGCGCGGCGCGGCGCCAGCGCGCAGTGGGGCGCCGGCAGGCCCGCGGGTTCGCCAGCTGGTCGGACGCGGACCCCCATAAGAGGTGCGCCGCGGAACGCATCGGGCAATCGCTGCTCGAGGCATCAGACGGCAAGCACAGCAAAGTGGGTTTAGAAATGTCTTCCCATCAGGCGGCACCGCACCGCGCCGCCGGGCTTACCCCTTTCTTGCACGGGGATAAGGACATTCTCGACGCTGGCCGCAAGCGTGCGCCTCCACTCCCGCCCCGCGGAGGTCAGCTGCATCTTCCACGCCACCCCCGACGAGGGGCGAAGGCGCCGTCGCCCGTGGAACCCCCGGGCCGCGCTGCCAGGCGCGAGCACCGCTGCCACCGGGTCGGCCGCCACGGCTGCCCCCGTCGCCCTGCGGCCGCTGCTTCGCTGACGCACGGGATTCCCCAGCTGCCGCGCCCTAACCCGCATCTGCGCGCCGGCCCCGCCGCCCGCGCCGTCCTCTCCGCCTCGTCCGATTGCAGAGACTCGGCTGGCTCGCCGGAAGGGCGGTCGCCAGAACACCCCAAACGTAGGGGACGATGCGGATTCAAACTCGAGCCACGTTGAAGAAAATGCTGACTCCGAAGGTAAGTGATGATTGGTTCCGACGCCGGGGGGGGGCAATATGGACGTCGCTGGGCACACTGCAAGGTCTGCCGCCCTCCAGGGCCAGCGCAACCAACCTTCGGCGGACTTGACCCAAAATGGCCACGGAAGGCGAGGCTCGGTCCTCCTCGCTCTCATCCACGCCCTCATCCTTCACCCCCGCCTCCTCCTCCTCCTCCTCCTCCTCCTCCTCCTCCTCCTCCTCCTCCTCCTCCTCCTCCTCCTCCTCCTCCTCCTCCTCCCCCTCCTCCTCTTCCTCCTCCTCCTCCATCCCTCCCTCCCTCCCTCCCTCCCTCCCTTCCTCCCTCCCTCCCTCCCTCCCTCCCTACTCCCCCTCCTCCCTCCTCCCTCCTCCCTCCTCCTCCTCCCTCTACTCCTCCTCCTCCTCCTCCCTCCTCCTCCTCCTCCTCCCTCCTCCCTCCTCCCTCCTCACCTCCCTCCCTCCTCCCTCCCCCCTTCCCTCCGCCCTCCTCCCTCCTCCTCTCTCCTCCTCCTCCCTCCTCCCTCCTCCCTCCTACCTCCTCCCTCCTCCCTACTCCCTCTCCCTCCTCCTCTCCCCCTCACTCCTCCATCCTCCCTCCTCCCTCCGCCCGCGTCCCCTCGTCCCTCGTCCCTCGCCTCGGTCCGCCGTCCCTCCTCCTCCTCCTCCTCCTCCTCCTCTTCCCCCGCCTCCTCCTCCTCCTCCTCCTCCTCCTGCTCCTCCTCCTGCTCCTCCTCCCTACTCCCTCCTCCTCCTCCTCCTCCTCCTCCTCCTCCTCCTCCTCCTCCTCCTCCTTTCTCCGTCATCCCAAATCCTCCTCCGTACCACCAGTCCCCCAGTAACCTCAAGAACCCTCCGATGACGTCAGGGAGTCTCCGGGGATGTTCGAAGATCTTGAAGACCTTCGAGAGCCCTCCAAACGCCTCCGAAAATCCCTCCTCCAAGACGAAGCCAGGACGAGGATAAAATCGAGTGAAGATAGATCGAAAATCTTCGAAATCCGGCGGTTCTGGAAGATGCCTCGGTCGCAGCGGCCTTCTCTCAGAGCGATCCAGAACGCTCTGAGAGCCTTCCGCATCGCCCTGGAACGGATTTATCCTCGTCCTGGCCCCGCCCTCTCCTGGGGCGCGTTCGGACCAGAAGTCCGAGGCGAATCCGGCGGTGGCGCCGAGGGCCTCCCAGGAGGCCCAGCAAGGGGAGAACGAAGGGAGGGTGGCGGCATGGGGATCTCTTCCTTCTCTGGCGGTCCTCGACCTCGCCCTGCTCGCCGCCCTCGCCGCCGCCGCAGCCGTCGCCGCCGTCTGCGCCCCCCGAGGGGCCCCCAGCCCCTCCAGTGGCGGAGCACGCGGGAGGACGCAGGGGTCGTGCCTGCCCTTCGCCTCCAGCACCTGCAGGGGAGCTCAGGAGGCTCGAGGACCGAGGCCTCTGGACTTGCAGTCGGACCTGGGACAGGAGAGCGTCCGCCAAGAACGAGCACCTGAGGGCCCCCCCCCCCCCAGGGATGCAAAAGAACATCTTACGCAAACACGGAGAACCTCAGCGTGTATCCTCCCCGAGCCGACCTCGATCTTACCCCTCGGTCCGACCGCAAGACGGATCTAGGACGAAGATAAAATCGGGGGATGATAAACCGAGAATCCCTGAGATCCGGCGGCTCTGGAGGATGTCTCGGGCGCCGCGGCCCTCTCGGAGCGTTCCCGAACGCTCTGAGAGCGTTCCAGAACGCTCTGGAACGGATCTGTCCTCTTCCTGGCCCCGTCCGACGGGACGGTCTTGGGCCTGGACGCTCGGCCAACGGAACCCCCAGGGGGGCCTCCTGGAGACCTCCGGAAGCCTCTGGAGACCTCCGATCGGGGGGAAGGATGCCCCTCCTCGCTCCCCCGAGGTGTGCTGTCTTGCAGGAGCACGGTGCACTCGGAATACCCCCCCTCTCTGGCCGCCTCTGCTTCTCGCCCGCCGCTGGCGGTCTTGCGCCTTCGGAAATCAGGCCGCAGACCATGGTCCTTCAGTCCGAAGGGAAGGGGAGAAATCCCCCAAGACGGCCCAACAGGGCCTCAAGACGGCCCTGTGCAGAAGGCCCCCTAGACGGCCGGCCCCAAGAGGGAATGGGAATGGGACGTTCGTTCGGGCGATCGCGGGCGAGGCCGTGGCCTCGCAAAATGGCAGGCAGGCAGGCAGCCAGCCAGCGTCCTCAGACAGCCGGCGCCGGAGAGGCACCAGGAGTGGAAATCGTGACGAATAGGGGGAACTGAAACTGAGAGTTCGAGCCCTCTGGCACAAGATAACCCCCGAAACCGCCAGCAGATCCTTACGAGGCCCCCAAGCCCCTACCCTCCTCCTCCTCCTCCTCCTCCTCCTCCTCCTCCTCCTCCTCCTGCTCCTCCTCCTCCTCCTGCTCCTCCTTCTCTTCCTCCTCCTCCGCCTCCTCCTCCTGCTCCTCCTGCTCCTCCTCCTGCTCCTCTGGCTCCCAAAAGGTCCCCGAGAGGCCCCCGCTGACGTCCCCAAACCGCAGGCCGCCGTGGTGAGGATGCCGAGAGGCCTGGTGGCGGGAGATGGGCCGAAGGCCACCATGTTGAAGGGGCCCTGGGACGCACAAATAAATACACACGAATAAGAGGATCCCCCATATTTTCCCATATGTTCTGGGTTCTTGCTTTCCCCCTCACTTCCCATATTTTCCCATATTTTATTGGGAATCGGCGATTGATTGTGTCTGTGTTTTTTCCCAACCAACCTGTGTTGTTGGGTCCTCGTTTTGAAGAGACGGTCCCCGCGTTCCACCTTCCTTCCTCCTCCCCCTTCCTCCCCCTCCCACACCCATTCTGGCACACCCCTCACACGTTTCGTGGCCCCATAGGGAGCTCCACCGAAGGCCCCAGTGGCTGCGCCCGCATGCGGTTCCACCCCCCATTCTGGCACACCCCTCACACGTTTCGTGGCCCCATAGGGAGCTCCACCGAAGGCCCCAGTGGCTGCGCCCGCATGCGGTTCCACCCCCCATTCTGGCACACCCCTCACACGTTTCGTGGCCCCATAGGGAGCTCCACCGAAGGCCCCAGTGGCTGCGCCCGCATGCGGTTCCACCCCCCATTCTGGCACACCCCTCACACGTTTCGTGGCCCCATAGGGAGCTCCACCGAAGGCCCCAGTGGCTGCGCCCGCATGCGGTTCCACCCGCCATTCTGGCACACCCCTCACACGTTTCGTGGCCCCATAGGGAGCTCCACCGAAGGCCCCAGTGGCTGCGCCCGCATGCGGTTCCACCCCCCATTCTGGCACACCCCTCACACGTTTCGTGGCCCCATAGGGAGCTCCACCGAAGGCCCCAGTGGCTGCGCCCGCATGCGGTTCCACCCCCCATTCTGGCACACCCCTCACACGTTTCGTGGCCCCATAGGGAGCTCCACCGAAGGCCCCAGTGGCTGCGCCCGCATGCGGTTCCACCCCCCATTCTGGCACACCCCTCACACGTTTCGTGGCCCCATAGGGAGCTCCACCGAAGGCCCCAGTGGCTGCGCCCGCATGCGGTTCCACCCCCCATTCTGGCACACCCCTCACACGTTTCGTGGCCCCATAGGGAGCTCCACCGAAGGCCCCAGTGGCTGCGCCCGCATGCGGTTCCCCCCCCATTCTGGCACACCCCTCACACGTTTCGTGGCCCCATAGGGAGCTCCACCGAAGGCCCCAGTGGCTGCGCCCGCATGCGGTTCCACCCCCCATTCTGGCACACCCCTCACACGTTTCGTGGCCCCATAGGGAGCTCCACCGAAGGCCCCAGTGGCTGCGCCCGCATGCGGTTCCACCCCCCATTCTGGCACACCCCTCACACGTTTCGTGGCCCCATAGGGAGCTCCACCGAAGGCCCCAGTGGCTGCGCCCGCATGCGGTTCCACCCCCCATTCTGGCACACCCCTCACACGTTTCGTGGCCCCATAGGGAGCTCCACCGAAGGCCCCAGTGGCTGCGCCCGCATGCGGTTCCACCCCCTATTTTGGCATATCCCTCACACGTTTCGTGGCCCCATAGGGAGCTCCACCGAAGGCCCCAGTGGCTGCGCCCGCATGTGGTTCCACCCACCATTCTGGCACACCCCTCACACGTTTCGTGGCCCCATAGGGAGCTCCACCGAAGGCCCCAGTGGCTGCGCCCGCATGCGGTTCCACCCGCCATTCTGGCATACCCCTCACACGCTTCGTGGCCCCATAGGGAGCTCCACCGAAGGCCCCAGTGGCTGCGCCCGCATGCGGTTCCACCCCCCATTCTGGCACACCCCTCACACGTTTCGTGGCTCCATAGGGAGCTCCACCGAGCGCCCCAGTGGCTGCGCTCGCATGCGGTTCCACCCCCCCATTTCGGCACACCCCTCACTCGTTTCGTGGCCCGGGGGCGCCACCGAAGAATAGATCTACAATTGCGGTATTCACAACTACGTATGGTTGGGTCTTTCGTCAGGCTAATTTCCTCCTGGCATGTGTCCGCCGCCCCCCCTATGATCTGGCCACGGGGGTGCCACAGAGGTGCACGGCGTGCCAGACTTCTGGGAGGTTTTGGCTCTTTTCTTGAAAACTCGCTCTGGGACCTCGATCCAAACCGCCGTCCGCGCGGAAGGACTCACGGCAACCTCAACGTCCACAAATGATCTTCCCAAGACTGCCCAAGATGGCCTCGAAGACGGCCAAGATGGCCCAAGATGCTGTCCAAGTTGCCTCCAATATGCCTCCAAGACAAGGTGGCCTCAAGATGCCTCCAAGACGGTCCAAGATGCTCCTAAAACTGCATCAGATGGCCTCAGGATGGCCCAAGCCGGCCCAAGAGGCCCCCAAAAGCCTCTCAGACGGCCCCCGAGGACCGTGGATTTGCGACAAAGATTAGCATCTGCCTCAAAACGGCCTTCCGACGGCCCAAGGCGGCCCAAGAGGCCCACAACATTGCCCCGAGAGGGCTCGAAGATGGCCCCAAGACGACCGAAGAGACTCCCAAGACGGCCCCCAGAGAGCTATAAAATCCTCCAGAAAGGCCCCAAAGACGCACAAGATGGCCGTCAAGACGACCCTGAAACGCCCCAAGAGGGCCCCGAGACGGCCCAGAAAGGCTCCCAAGACGGCCTTCAACGACGTCAGGCGGGCCAGGAACGCCGCAAGACGGCCAAACAGGCCCCCAAGAATCCCCCAAAGGCCCCCAAGGGGCCCAAGAAGACCCACAAGAGGCCTCCACGAGGCCTCCAAGTGGCCACCTGGAAGCTCCCAGGAGGCCCCAAGAATAGCCTCAGAAGCTCCCAAGAGGCTCCTCATCTTGTTCCTCCTCGTCCTCCTGCTCCTCCTCCTCCTCCTCCTCCTCCTCCTCCTCCTCCTCCTCCGCCTCCTCCTTCTCCTCCTCCTCCTCCTCCTCCTCCTCCTTATATTCACTCTCCTCATATTCGCGTGTTCGCCCCATGGGATTCGCGTGTTTCCCTCCCCCGCTTGTTCGCCGATGGGCTTCCACAACGGCTGGAGGAACGGATTGCCCAATGGCATGGCCAAACGTTGGCCCAAATATGTGGTCACATAGGCGATTCCTGAAAGGCAGGGGGCGGCGGTCATTCGCCGTAGGCGTCTTCGACAAACACATACTCATAGCCACACGACCTGTACATATATATATATATATATATATGTATGTATGTATAGAAACACATGTAAACATAGGGTGCGTATACATGGGAAACTATACGCATGCATACATACATACATGCATACATACATACGTGCATGCATACATACATGCATGACTACATGCATGCATACATACATATATACATACATGCATACATACGTACATGCATACGTACATCCATACCTATACACATACATACATGCATGCATACATACATACGTACGTACGCACGTACGTACATAGGTACATACATACATACATGCATACCTAAATCCATACATACATACATACATACATGCATGCATACATACATACATACAGACATGCATACATGCATACGTGCATGCATGCATGCACGCACGCACACATACACACATACATACATACGTACATACATACGTACATACATACATACATACATGCATACATACATACATACATGCGTACGTACGTACATGCATACATACATACATACATACATGCATGAACCCATACATACATACATACATGCATACATGCATACATACATACCTGGATGCGTACATGCGTGCATGCATACACAACTGCACATACATACATACATACATGCATCCATAAAATCATCTAGACATACATGCATATACATACATACATACATACATACATGCATACATACATACATACATACATACATACATACATACATACATACGTGTATACATACATACCTACCTACATACAGACAGACATACAGACA